TCAAAAAATAAAAATAAAAATATTGCACTATTGCATATGTATAGCATAAATTTTGATTTTTAAAATATTATATTATTCGAAAGTTGGAATGAATTTGTAATAGTAATACTTCAGAAGAACATCATATTGTTTAATTGAAGAGTAGAACGAATTGTTAATATTAATATTTAAGAAAAATATGGTATTCATACTAATAAGAGTATATATCTCGTTGTGTTCTTAAAGACGCACACTTTGTTGAAGAAATACTTAAGAAAAATATTATTTTTATATTCATTAAAAAATAATTCTTTTATTCAAATCAATATTTTTCTCAATGATTAACTTTATATAAGTTTGAGTCTCATAACATGTAAACGTTGCTCGAGAAGCATAACTTATATAAAAATATTCATAATTCTAAAGGAATATTTGGTCATTTCAAAGAATGACTTCTACATATTAATATTCTAAAATAATATTATGTCATCTATAAATACCAATATTATTGAAGAATATTATTTAATTATTGGTGAATAAATCAAAAGAATATCTTGACATTGCTCTTGAAGATATTCATGAAGAATATTATGATGTTGCTCTCGAAGAAGTACAATTCTCAAAAATTATAAAATCATTTGAACCAAATATTGTCACAAACTTGAAGTTTGTTGATTTGAAAAACTTTATGATTTGATATAGTGTTCAGATCATGAGACGTGTGTAACGTACCTGTAGTGCATACAAGCATCCACTAAACTCATGGTGACTCATTGAAAGAGAAATGCGAGAATAATTAAAATCAATTAAATACAATATTGAAATTTACAAAACGAATTATAAGGCTCTAGAAGAATCAATATTATATTACTCTCATTTTTTTTTAGTTTTTACTATACATTATTTAATCAAATTATGTATTAAATCGAAAGTTTAATTACTGAATGTATTATTATTTGGCATAACTAGTTAGACTATCACTGGATGACTAAGGATGCAAAATTGAGGAAATGGATACTCAATGAAGAACTAGAAGTTTCTTTAATCTATTGAATTCCAATATGTTGTTCATTCTTTTCATTGAAACTTGTAAATAATCATCACTAGTTAAGATATGGATTGAAGTCCATAGATTTTTGAAAATTAATTAGGATGATATAGGGATGTTAATCCCGTAGGTTGGTACGGGAGGCCCATAGCTTGGCTCGCAGCTCGATTTAACCAAGCCTCTTTTTTGGATGACGGTTCGAGCCAAACCGGCCCATGTGGCTTAACAAGCCACACGAGCCTGCTCGTATGGCAGGTCGAAATGTAGCTCGTGTTATAGGCTGCTTCAGGCAGGTAGCCACTTAGTAGCTGTGTGACAGTAGCTGCATACTTATTGCTTTTCTTAATAATAAAAAATGAGTTAGCTTGACTCAGACTAAAGCTCGAGCCAAGCTTTAGTTTTTCAATCGACCTTTGGCTTGACTTGGGTCAGGCAAAAAAAGCTCGAGCTGCAATCTTCAAATTGCAAGCCAGCTTGGCTCGGTTCATTTACATTCTAGGATGATAACTCCTTCACCTTCTATGTTGATCATCTAGTGTTACTTGTATACAATAGATGTTATACATTTACTAGAGATTGCATGATGTTTGTAACCTGAAGTTTGTAATTACTTTTTAATTTTTAAAATATGAATATAACTTTCAGATTATATAATCAAGATGATGTGTCTCGTTAATGCTAATGAGCTAAATCTCAACCTTTTAATATATGTTAATTGGGATGGCAATAATTTTTTTAACATTATTGTTTGGTAAACATGTTCAATTAATTTCTAAATCGTTACTAATGAGAACAAAAAGATTTCCAGTTCTGTCAAGGTCAAGCCAATATCAATGTTTCCCTATCTATATTTAGCTTATGACCAAAACCTAATTTGTTAATCTAATTATTTTGATAGTGAAATATATATACAATTGATCTACCATAATTGCACTGAGATGAAAAGTAAAGAATATGGAGAATAAATACCTAGTTTGAACCATTATTAAATTTTTTAAGCTCTAATGAGTGATATTTTATAATGTAGTTTGCTAACTGTCAATTTGACTGAACCGTTTTCTCATCATCATTATATTATTTAGATCCTCCCAAAGATATTTCGAACCAGAAGTTCGAAACATAATTCTTTTAGATACATATACTGATCAAATAGATCAACAATAGCTTAAACACCAGTTTTAAATGCTTCAATTCGAATTGACGTCCTCAGATAATAATTTGTTAGTATTATATCTGATATATTTACATTCGATTGTAAAACAGCAATCTTCAAAAGAAAATGAACCAAATAATGCAGATGGTACTCTTGGAGAATAAATAGATATAAGTAATTATAAAATCTTGAAATAAGTTCAAGTCTTTGAAATATTAAAAGTAGAGATATCTCAGCACGTTATATCTTTATAAGAAACGAAATGGAACAAAAACGAAAAAAGTTGTCGACAATACTTTTTTACATGATTTATCTCTTCATATTATGAACTACGAGGATATAGAAATAAATTCTTTGATGCATATTGATCGAAATAAATAATTGGCTAAATAAAATGATGCAATACATCCTAATAAAATTGAATTTATTAGAAAAACATGAAGTTTTTATACTTCCTATTTGAACAACTAAATGTGTATACTTACAAGAAAAGTAAATGAGAAAAAAAAAGTCATAACATATAATGCACAACTCTTAAAAAAATAAATTTCGTAAAGACCACAAGTGTCTATCTTATTAGTCTAACAATGCATGAAATTTGATATGTATATAATAAATGTGATTATAGCAAAATTAACTTGTATAATTTTAATCCTTGAAGGATTTTATACCTATAGTATATAATTCAGTTGATATCATAATAAATGAGAGTAAATATGTATTGAACTCTTTGTCCTATTGAATTTTTCCAACAAGATTTTTAATGAGAGAGTTTTTATGACATATTGAAAGAAATAATGTACTCTTTTTCCTTCATTAGAATTTTTATCTCGATATTTTTCTAAAGATTCTAACGAAGTATATTCTTTGTGTAATGAATGTCTATAACTTATATTCCATTATCCTTAAAATAGTATTCTTATATTTGATAAATTGTGTACAAATTTCAAAGAAATAACAACAAAATCTGTATTTCAATGGATTGTCATACTGGCTAAAGTCAAACAATGCTAGAAGAAATATATTATATGAAGATGATATTGCTTGGAGGCTATACCAAGACAATACGAAACATACTTCACTCGAATTGTGACATTAAATTGACATACAAGATACGGATGTCTCGATACAAAAGTTTTTATTTATGAAAATGAGGCAGAGCAATTATATTATTTTTCCTTAGCTCAAGTTTTGTTCCATTACATTTTCTTGATGAGGTTTTAACAAAGTAGGATTTTATAATATGTCATTCAAGATGGAATATTGTAAATTATATATTCACTAGTAAATGAGCACTATACCCCTACAAACATAATTATTATGACTATTGCGTCCTTTCTTTCCTAATTCTTCTCTATAAATATGAGGCATTGATTTTCAATGAAATACACACAAGCTTATTAATTTCTCTACTTTCTTCAATTTCCTCACTAATTTGTAACAAAATGTAGTTTTTATGAGGTCTTTATGATTTGAATAGATAATTCTATAACTACCTCAACCACCATTTTTATTGGCTAGTTTGATAAAAAAGAAAAAAAAAATTGATCAAAGAAGTCTAAGTGCTCGAGGTGTTAATCATAGATTTTTAATATTTACAGGGGATGTGATTTGCACTATCAATGTCCCACATAATTGCACATTTTTTACCACTCCATCATCTTATCTAATTTAATTATTTCTTTATATTTGATATATATCTAGCAATGAGCACCTATGAATTAAGCACCTCAATAGTATAAATTCATTTCTCTTTGAAGTAGTGTTATAAAAAGAGCGCTTAGCTGGTGCCTAAGCGTGATGCGCCACTACAACAAAAATGCAATTTTGTGACAAAACATTTTGCGATATACAAAAGGTTGTTGCAATAAGTGACTTTATTGCGACATTTTTCTTAAGTTTGTCACAAAGATTGATACGGAAATAATAAGTACCAAAAAATATAAGGCAGCATAAAAAGTTGTCGTGAAATATGAGAAGGCGCGACAAATACTAAGGATTGTTGCCAAAAACATGAGAGAAGCAAGGTGCCAAAATATTTTTGGCGGGAAACTTATGGCGACAAACATTTATTTCTTGCAACAAAGTGTTTGTGATGCAATAGAGTCTACTTTTTGTGACAATAAATATTTGTTTATATATAGTGGAAAAATTCGTTACGAGAATAACTATTTTTTGCAACAGACAAAAAACATTGACATAGATCTTTCACAATGCTCACCCATATATTGTAGGCTCTAATGTTGTCGTAGATACGAAGGATACGACAACGTGCAATGCACATTGCAAATGCCTCAAATGTACGATGTGTTAAATTTTTACGATATATTTCGTCTGTTTCTTTTATTATATTTTGCAACGCTATTTGCTTGTCGTCTTGACTTTTTCTAAAAACGTGTGTTATTTTATCGTCTAGCTAAAGATGCCATTTTAATATGTAATATTATTTTTTTTAAAATTAAATAGTTTTGACCAAGAGAAAAAAAATTTATAAGCTTTAAAAAAATTTCTAGAAAAATTTATCTCCAACAAAAATTCAAAAATAATAATTCCGAATATTTTTCTAGTGTACAAATAATAATTTAAAATAATCTTCCAGTAATAATTATAAATATCACATAAAAAATTATAAAGTTACTTATGCTATTAATTAGTTAAATATATATTTATTAATAATTCAATCAATATCAAGTAATAAAAAGCAACTAAAAGCGTTTCCTCCCTCTTTAAATTTTCATTCCCGCTTAAAATTGCATCAAACTAAAAAGTTTCATTTTCCCCCTTTCTCAACCAATTCTCACTTTATACACTAGACAAAGCCCATTTTGGTTTAGTACAAAATCTTAGAAAACCTAATCATTTCTCTCTCGCCCTTCCCTTGATCATCATTTGTGCTGCTCTTCCTCTTTAAAAATTACTCATCTGCACTCTTCACATTTTTCTAAGATCTCGTCAAAAATCATTGGGATCAGAAATTGGCTCACAAAGGTAAGGAAATCTCCCAAAATTTCTGCAGATTTTTTGATATCCTTATTTAAGCAATCGAATCCTAGGTAAATTATTTATATTTGTCAGATTTGGTTTAGGTTTTTCCACTTTCTGCTTCTTCCGTTTGTTTAGAAACAAATTTTCATTTTTTAAGATTATAATCAAATGTAAGTGTTATAGCTTTTAATTTCATCTATCATTTGCAGTTTTGTGTTTGCCTTTTGTATTTCACACCCTCTCTATTTCTCTAAATCGGTGTGGGACTGTTTGGTCTAGATGCGTATAAAAGAGAAGAAGACCAAACTCTCTTAATCTTCTTTCCTCTATTTCTTGTTTCTCTAAGAAAGTTGAGAGATAGGGATTGGACAAGAAATGATTACAGCTTTCAGCATCCTAAAAATAATGGATGATGTTTTGTGCTACTATTCATGGGAGTCTCGTTGAATAAAGAGAAGTGGTTTGAGTTAAGTTGATTTGATTTTCTCTATTTTTTGATAATTAATGAGTTTGACCCCCAATGTTGGCTGTTTTTCTTTACTTACTCTTTGTGGGTTTTTAATAAAATTTGGGATTTATTTTATGAACTGAAATTGTAAGTGAGAATTGAGTTGGAAAGCTTGAGAATGTGGGAAGAGTAGTGAGGGAAGGAGGGAGTGAATGCAAAGTTTTTGAGTTTTCCAATAAACGTGCTTAAGAAGTGTTTCCATGGTTTTTCCATTATATATAGACTAATTTCTAAAATTTTTTGAATCCTTTTTCAAATTTTGCTCCAAGTCTTGGTCTTTCTAATTTCTATTGGATTTGATGAGTTTATTTGTTTTACTTCATATTATGTTGCCTTGTTTCCCTAAATTTAATTTTTTGCCACTTGATTTTCATTTGTTCTTTGTTTTGTGCATATAAATAAATTCCCTTTCTTGTAATTTTTTACTTTGATTTTCATTTTTTGATTGTGATTATCTCAACAAAAATGCAAAGCCAAGCAAATTTATTGCCTTGATTAATTTGAGATTAGTGTTGAGAAATGATGGGATATATTTGATGAAAATAGTGCAGTTGGCAGCAAGGATTGGAGTTTCAAATTTGTACAAGAAAACAAAGAAATCATTTTTTGAGACGTAAGTGCTCTATACTATTACAGTTACATTCTAACATAGTCCCAGCAAGGATTTCCTCTTTAGTACATACATATATATTTGGATGGTGCGTCATGACAGCAAGAAGATTAGAAGATGTTCATGATTTGTCTTATTTTTGCAGGTTAAAGACATGTACAATCATGTGAATGAGTGGTCGGGACTAAAAGGCTCATTTGATTGCAGATTATGCCTATGTGATAATAATGACGTAATTTGAAGAAGTTAGTATTGAGTTGAAACGAAAGCAAAATTCATGCAATTTTGAACAATGAATTTATTGAATGGAAATGTTTGTAATTTCTTATTTGTTTGTTGGTGTATTTTAAATATTCTAACTTTATAATTCATTTAATTAAATGATATTGGCGGCATTGTTTTTTAAAACTGTAATCTAGTGACAAACTCTTTATGTTGCAAAATAAATTTAATTACAAACATTATTTGTTACATGATAAATTTTACTACAAATGTGAATATCGTAAAATATATTATGCAATATATAAAATGTATTGTAAATTATATTTCATGATAACATGACTTGTTATTAAAAATATATCACTACGAGCATGTGTTATTGGAAAATAGAATATGTAACAAATATTATACTTCAACATAATATTTGCAACAAACATTTTTTCTTGCAAAAACTTTACTGAAATAATCGTTACGACAAATTGACTTGTCGCCCATTTGATTTTTCGTGACATACATGCTTTGCGACAACAATATGGCAACAAATATCTTGTTGCAATTTCGTACATTGGCATCAAACTGGTAGTATTGCAAGTTTGTTAATGCGATGAATGAACGAAAGATGTCGCGGAATACAATCCGTGACTCATATAGTGCGACAACGCTTGCAACAAACATATTGTTGTCGCGAAGTTATTTTTGCAACAAAATCTCTATTTATGCGACAACATTTTTTTGTCGCGATTTTGATATTTTGTTGTAGCACCTCGCCTTAGCAGTAAGCATGAATTAAGCGGTCAACTAATGCGTAGCTAGGCGATGACTAGGAGGGCTTAGATGCACTTTATTATTATTATTATTATTATTATTATTTTATTATTTTATTTTTATTTTTACCTTTTTTCCTTTTTCAAAAGTCTTTTATTGACTTTAGTTTATTAAATTTCTTTTTATTTTTTTCATTTTTAAAAACATTTTATATGACATTAGTTTCAAGTTTTTAAATGATTTTATTTGTAAAAAAGTCAAAAAAAATAAATAAATTATTTGATAAAGAGTTAGACAAAGACTTATCATTTTGTTGAAATTTTAGAAAGTATGTGTGAAGTTCCCATAAATCTATTAAATAGGAATTGTCTAGTTTAAAATTAAAATTATGAAAAATAATCTAGTTTTTGCATTTTGAAAATTTGAAAATTGTATAATTGACTAATTAGAGTAACTAGTAAGTAAATATAATATTGATAATTTTAAATGTTTGGTAATTATTATTTTTATCATTAAATAATTTTTAGAATAATTTAAAATCTTAAAAATGTTAAAAAAAAAAAAATCCTTTTTTATGCCCATGTCTCACCCAATCATATTTTAAACTTTTTAGAACTTTGCTTTGAAGATACCTCCAAATGCCACTATATTGGTGGGTGAGCACTTTTACCATCAAAATTTGACTCGATTTAAGGAAATAATACGAGAAGCATATTGGAATGTAGATGAGTTGAAGAGTCATACGAAAAAATAAGATTGCCCCTTATTGAAGTATGCACATAATTTTAGTTTAATAGAAATTAATTGCTGTCAAATTCTCATCAAATTTTTATGATGGAAGTTTCAAGAGAATTAATTTGTAACCAAATTCATACTATCTAGCACCAGTTTAGGTGTTTATATTTTATATGTTCAATTAAATAAATTACCTAACTTTGTATTTAAATGAATATATCATTTAATGACATATAATGCTACCTAGACTAATGCTTAATGCCAATAGTGATGAATAACATCACTCTTTAAAATACGGCAACTTTTTATTTATTTATTTTATTATTATTTTTTATTTTACAGTTATATCTTTTTGCAAAAATGGCTAAAGTTTTTTATGTTTGATTCAAAGAATCTGATTACGTGGTACTCAAAAAAAAAATATTTCACAAATCTCAAAACACTTTACATCTTAGAGAATATTAACTAAACATTGGTTCAACTGTTCCTAACTTCAATTCGATTGAGAAATGTTAACTTTATTTTGGTAATTTTTATTTTAAATATACTAAAACAATTAACATGTGTATATATGAATTTTTATATGATTATCTATATGTTAAGATTCACAAGTTTAGCATAATAAATTGATTTATTTTTTATTTTATTTTATTTTATTTTTTTGTCTTATGTTCAAAGCAGTCATACCCAGATGAGTCAATCCACCATATTTCTATATGAATCCAAATAAGCCATAATCAAGAGCGTTCAATCACTAACAACTTAATTAATGATTACGACAATCATAAAAACTTCTCTATGCCATTTTATCCAAATTGAAGGTTTTCACAAAGTCGTGTGAACAAATAACTCACTGTCGACATAATTATTAACCACAAATTAATGAATTAGTGACTAATTAATTCAAAGTATTAAGAATGAAAGTAAAAAAAATTCATAAACATCAATTAGAGGTTAAAACTTCATAATTAAATTTAAGGTTCTAAATAATTGTTTAATTAAAACATCATGGGAAAAGGAAAAAAAAAAGAATTAAAATACTTCAATCCATTTTCTTTTCCTTTTTCATTGTGTCCTTCTTCTAATTGTGGGATCTTTTCTTTGAATTTCGAATGCAGTTTTCACTTTACATTGCTTGAAGCCTTCTTCCTCGATAGATCGTCATCTAAATATTGGTGATAAATAAGGCTAGATTACTCAAACTAGCTTCACATAACAATATAGGTAACATTTTCCTACATCCCACGTCTAGTGTAGTGCCCTTTTTTTTTTGGGATAAGTAATTGAAATCGAAATCCTAGTATATGGTTACCAATTAGGATTAGCAAAAAATATTTTGCACAAATATTTAACAAGCACGAAATCACACATATCTAAATAGCTTCTTACATGAGATTGATCACTTCCAAACTATCATTTCAATAGGATAAGTGATTATGCTATATATTATGATATTGGTTTATAAAGACCTAAATTCATTCAATGTATTTCTATCACTAATATAAAATACATGACAATCATCATAATTATTTTGTTCAATATAATACGATCTTAAAGCTGAACCCTCATGGATGAGATGAGGCAAGTAGAGGCTCTATAGAAGATCTTCAAACAAGATCTTTTAAGATTGATTGATATGATAACTTACTGTAATAGTCACTCTAACAAGTGAACATGTCAAGTTTAACCTGTACGCGTTAGGCTTATGAGAGCATAACTTGCATTAACCTTGAACGGAACATCGTGTTAGCTTTTATAATAGAAGTGGATGAGTAAAAAAATGTTGGATGAAGAGATACGTGACCTCATCCTACTGTCTGAGGCACCTTGTCATTGGCATCAATCGATCAGTCCAAGGCTCAGATGAAAATAAACAATAAAATTCTGTCCGCATTATATTTAAGTACTGTGACACAAATTGGAACAAAACAATGCTACTACCAATAAAATATACCAAACAATTATCAAAATATGGAGAAATTAACCTGAAAATTCACCCAAAATTTGAGAAAATTATTACTAGAAATAAAAAAAATTGTAAGTTTGAATTAAAATTAAAATTTAATGTCTACTCAATTTTAATGAACATATTCTAGCTACCTTAGGCCTCGAAAATACAAGTTCAAAGTAAATGTTTTAATGTCTGCATGGTTCTCTCTAATTAACGTATGTCATTGGGTGAAAATTCCTGTTTAATTGTAGTTTAGTGCCTATGGTTTCCTGTAACCAAGTACAAAATTTAAATGTATATTGAGGATCCTTATTTGACACAATAAATACTAAATCTCCCATATAAGCTAACTATCTTATCCACAGACAACTTTGCCAACTTATTCAGTCGATCAAAAACTACCAAACCACCACCATGACCACACTAAATACGAGAAAGACCAAATAAAATTTTTATTGCAATGTGATTCCATTTTCATTCTGGAGTAGACAATAGTTGTAAAAGCTCGACTTTTTCTCTAATGATCTAACTTCACCTACTGATAGGTAAGATTCTTGGATAAAAACTCTACTATATCTCTCTTCATACTTGGCCACTAGTAGTGCTCTTTCAAGTGTGATACATTTTAGTACTGTCTAGGTGCATTGGATAAGACGAACTGCACGACTCTTCTAAAATGTCTGTCTTTAATTCTGGAATATTAGGAACACACATTTTGTTTCACACAGTCAATGTATGATCATCTCTAATTACATAACCTGTTCTCAAATATCCAAACTGAATTGTAATTTCAATATTATCAGTGTCATACATAGGGAATGTGCTTCTCTAACCCTATCAATCAAGTAGACTTCACATGAAAATGAGCTAATACTGACTCTAGATTCGTAATTGATAATAACCACTACATTTTTCGAGCTCACAAATCAAAGAAACACATATTTCACTGGGTTGAGTAGAAGAACTACTAGTCTTTGCATTGAGAACATCTGTAACTACATTAGCGTTCTCAAGATGACAGTGATCCTTTATCAACATAAACTATAATTTTTGCCTCAAATTCAATACCTTCTCATTGAAAATATAAATAAAACTTTTGAGATAATTATATATCTACTATTTCTTGCATAAAGGTAATGCCCTCAAATCTTCAATAATAAAACCGTTGTAGTCAGCTCAAAGTCATGTGTCGAGTAGTTTTTTAACCTTCCATTTCTATATTAGCCCACATTTGGCCCTCATTTTTTGGAAATGAAAATGAGTGGAATAGTATTTTTTTGAAAACTAGTGGTTGAAAAAGAAGAAAAATTTTCGATTTACGTATAATATTATTTTATGAAAGATTGTGTGGTTAAAAATAGGAAAGCGAAAAATAGAATGTAATTTAATGAGTACCAAACTAGAGCTTGATACATGTTAGGTGTTCCCCCTCATGTGAGGAAACTTACTTATTTTAGTGGTAAGTGGGGACACTTTCTACTAAGGGTCCTTTTGATTGTAAAGATGTAATTGAATTGAATTGAAAACGAATTTCAGAGAATTGAATTACCTAGAAATTATTTTCTTGGGAATTGTATTTTTGGTATTCGTTTCGCTTTCTTTGACATGAAAATTGTCAATTAAAGGGATAAATTTTACTGGTATTGGGGATGAAACTTG